GGTGTTTACTTGATATTAGAAAATCACTTAGGTGGTAGTTGCTTTGAAAACTTAGAGTTAGTGGTTTAAGTACTTTTATGTTTTTTGAGTTTCTTGACAATTTGTTGCTATGATAAANTGTCTTTCTATGTGTTGATTGAATGATTTAGGTGTTTACTTGATATTAGAAAATTACTTAGGTGGTAGTTGCTTTGAAAACTTAGAGTTAGTGGTTTAAGTACTTTTATGTTTTTTGAGTTTCTTGACAATTTGTTGCTATGATAAAGGTGTACCTTGCTTATGTATTAAATTGTTATATTCTAACTTATGTTCATGTAGAGAAACTCTTGTGATTTGAGAGTTATGATTTATCCCATGAGTTAGTAGTTTGGATATTTGTATTTTCCTTGAAAAATTATGAAAGTAATGAACATGAAACTTAATCATATGTTTAATCCATTGAATGATGCTTTACATTCATGTAGATAAAGTGTTGTGAATTTGAAGTTATGCTTTACTTTATAAATGAGGCATATTTTAAGTTATACGCCACGTGTTTGATAAAATGTTCTGTAGAATATACATTGAGAAAAATTATGGTATCTTGGCAAACATGAATCCTTGGAACATAGTGTAGGTTGAACACTTAGTGCTATGCATTATAAGGATGTAGATCCTGTANCCACGTGTTTGATAAAATGTTCTATAGAATATACATTGAGAAAAATTATGGTATCTTGGCAAACATGAATCCTTAGAACATAGTGTAGGTTGAACACTTAGTGCTATGCATTATAAGGATGTAGATCCTGTAATGAAAAACCCAAAATTTGGCCAATGATAGTACTTGCGGGCTGACAGGGGCAGACCGTGAAACAAGACATGAGTGACATAGAGTTGCATGTGTGTGTCATGCATATTGACATTGCATAGCATTGAGGGATTACGGGATTGTAGCTTTTAAAATGTACAGTTGCATATGCCACGCCNCAGTACTTGCGGGCTGACAGGGCCAGACCGTGAAACAAGACATGGGTGACATAGAGTTGCATGTGTGTGTCATGCATATTGACATTGCATAGCATTGAGGGATTACGGGATTGTAGCTTTTAAAATGTACAGTTGCATATGCCACGCCTTAAATTTGTTCCTAACATTAGCACTTTGTCATACCAGTAGTTGAGCTGACCTATTCGTGGGATATCATATTACAGATGAGACTCCCGGTACTTGAAACTTGAGGAAGTCTTAAAAGAAGGAGAGGAAAGGGACTCGAATGGATATTTGACTCATGGGGCATATTTTGTATGTATGGGCATAAACCCAAATGACTTGTATTTCAGTTTGAAAATATGCGGGACATCTTTGTTTAATGAGTATCATATGTGTATATTGAGACAACTAGATGTGTATGTTNTTGACTCATGGGGCATATTTTGTATGTATGGGCATAAACCCAAATGACTTGTATTTCAGTTAAAAATATGCGGGACATCTTTGTTTAATGAGTATCGTATGTGTATATTGAGACAACTAGATGTGTATGTTGAAAACAAGGGATGTATGTTTAATGTACATGGATTGTGGCCACCGAATGAGGGTGGGTTGTGATATACTTATGCACATGAAATATTGTAAATATTAGGTGGAAAAAAGGCTTGGAAAACAAAAGAGGTTATGTCGAAATTTTATGAAAAATTAAAAGACTTGTTAAGTATGTAAAACACCTTTTAAATAGGTGGGAATAATTTCAAAAGGGGGGGGGGTTAGAAACCNCTAATCTTGTGTTTAAGTCTACTATCTTGTTCTCTAATTATTTTATAAATAATTTCAGTTATTTTGGACCTGAAATGACTTATTGGAAGTCATTCATAAAGTGTAATACCACAAAAGTTTTGAGAAAGTGATGCATAGTAATACATGGAAGGAAGTGTTCATTCTAAGAACATAACCACCATGATTCATGTGTTATGTGTCTCAATAAAGTTTGGGTAAATTATTGTTTGGCCATATTCAGTGTCTAGTTTCAGTTACCAATGAAGAGTTAAGATGTGTCATGTGAGCCAAGCAGGAGAATGTTAGCACGTCTCCATTAGGAGACTTGTAGTGGTCCACATACCATATTAGTTTTTAAAATAATATTATTATATAGATAATATTGAGTCGAAATTTGGTAATTGAGATTATGTCAATCTACCTATTACAAGATTGTGGTTATCAGATTAGTTTCAGAGTCTTTGATGGAAGGAACCTGATAAAGTCAATCTATTTAAGTGATAAGGATTGGGACCCCTAACTTACCTATAAATAAAGACCTGTGAATGCCATCAGAAATACAATTTGTTGTGAATGTAGGCCAAGTTGGAAACCCTTTTTGCAAACCTCCACAAAGCATTAGTGAGAGTGTTTAGTTTTTCTTGTGAGTTCTTGATCAACAAGGCTCATGNAACTTACCTATAAATAAAGACCTGTGAATGCCATCAGAAATACAATTTGTTTTGAATGTAGGCCAAGTTGGAAACCCTTTTTCCACACCTCCACAAAGCATTAGTGAGAGTGTTTAGTTTTTATTGTGAGTTCTTGATCAACANTAGGAGGTAAGTATTTTATTCCGTTGTGATATATAATTCTCCCTTTTAGGTCTAACATTTAAAACTTGAAAATTTTCAAATATATATAAATATTAAAAATAAGGATAACTATTATACTGTGTCATGGGTGTAGGTGTCTTTTAGACTTGAACTTCACTTAGTGTTNCAGGAGGTAAGTATTCTATTCCGTTGTGATATATAATTCTCCCTTTTAGGTCTAACATTTAAAACTTGGAAAATTTCAAATATATATAAATATTAAAAATAAGGATAACTATTATACTGTGTCATGGGTGTAGGTGTCTTTTAGACTTGAACTTCACTTAGTGTTGATAGTCTCACTCTAAAGAATCATAGTGACCAGAGACTTGAATTGGACCCTTTGAACTAGAGTTCAACATGTCACATAGAGCACATATGTTGATTAGGATTTGCAGGTTAGTACGATTAATGGTCATACACTTGATCTTGAATCTCACGAGAGTTTCTAGAGAGAGCCCAATGTCATAGTCGCGGCCTCACGACTACTTTTACTTAGGCCCTCCAAGGGTATATGTGCACAATACTCTACATGAGTGTTCTTGCCTCGATCTTATTCAGAATAAAACTCTTCTTTACTGTCACACTACAAATACACCTCTGCCATAGGAGGAACATAAAAATATCTCTTATTAAGATATCTCCTCAATAAAGGTGCTAATGAATCATGCAATATGGATTATTTCTACCAATTAAACTTCCTTTATAGGATCTATAATCGTAAAAGTTGGGTTACCTCCCTGTATGACTCCCTTGCAAGCGTAGGCTCATCCGCTCGACAGTTCTCTTAAGACAATCAACTCCTAAATTTTAACAATATTTAAGACTAGTCCAATCACTTCTTCTCCCTCCCCTACACCCCGCGTCGTCTTCATTTTCTTTCTAACATCCACCACCTTTAACTATGAAGACTGTAGCGAACACAAGCTCCTGAGTCCCAGAAGTCATGCGACTTCAAGAAGTCTTAGACCTAGAAATCTGAGATGACGAATTGTTGATCAGAGTTGCGACCACCGCCCTTAATCAAGCTGATACCCTTTAACGCAAACGCTTGTACCTACCTCCCAAGGGTGCTAGTTCATACTTAACACCACCACACCAACACCACCCCAAATACCACCCACATCAATCACTCCACCTCCTCCGGCTTTGAAACCACCTGAACCGCCATTTCCTCCTCCACCCACTTTAGCCCACCCACTGCCAATAAAACCCACCACCTATATGTGATGTATTTCTTGGTGTTGTTGATGATTCAGTCTGCCTTTGTGTGATGTATTTCTCTCTCTGCTAGTTGGGTGGGTAGAGAGAGAGGAAAGAGGAGTGATAACAGAAAAGTGAGAGAATAGCCAATTGGGTATTTTGAATTTGAATTTTAAATTTATGATAGAAATTTTATTGGCATATCTCCATTTATAATGAACTAAGAGGTAATAATTTCAAAAATAGGAAATTAATTTAGGGTTAATTGCTTTTTATCCCCTGTGGTTTCGTCTAAAAATATCTCACTTAATTAATGTTTAAAATTATGCACATTATCCCTTATGGTTATGTACCGAAATGAAACCGTTATTTTTATCATCCAAGTTAGCGGAGAGTGTACTTCATATGCTCAAAAAATATTGTGGACTTTGTTTTCATGGTTTCCCTTCAAAAGAATATTGTCTAAGTGCTTAAAATACCATCTACACTAAAATATCTAGGGTCATTAAATGAGTAAGTTTTCATCATTAGTTTTATGCTCTTTAATAACATATTGATATCAACAACTTCGTAGTGATTTTCAGCCATTAAATGGATAATTGGAAGCTATCTGCTATCCTTTCCCAGATTTCTATCTTGCTAAAGGATCTAGATTTCCAGATCAGTCTCATTTTAAGAAAAGCCAATGCAGTGGCTGATTTTTGTCCAAGCAAGCAACGCAGATGGGGACTAGTTGTATTTCTCTGATGTGGATTCAGTGCCAAGCTTGGGGAGGTTGCTAATGGTTCAAGACCAGCGAAGAATACCAGTTTTAAGAGTCAAAAATTCTTTGATTTCTTTTCATTCTTTGGCAAATGTGAATATGACTTTGCAGTTTTTGGAAGGCAGGTATGTCTGCTTTTTCTCCTTGTAAATAATTTTTGACGAATGAAATAAAATGCTGTGTTTTTAAAAAAATTAAAAAATTAAAAAAATAATTAGATTCAAGAACATTAATAGATGATTAGATCTGCCATCAATATTAGATTCAAGAACATCTAGTATTATAGATGATTTTGAAATTTCTTAAGACATATGCTTTGTAATAACACTTTGATATCCATGGACAATACTCATCTAACAATAAGAAAGAGTATTTGATTCAACAATCAAAAAATCCATAGACAATACTCCAAATCCATCATGTCGAAAGCAAATTTGATTCACAATAAAAAAAACAGTGTTGATTCACAACCACATAACAATAGTGATTAACCACCAAAAACCCAGTTGGATATCCAAAATAGTTATAAGTTAGCCATGATTAAACATAAACAAAAAAGAACAAAATCACATTTATAGTCATTGCTTGCTGCCGCCTTTTTTCCTCTACCTTATTTTCTCCAATAGACTTGAAATTGTTGGTGCTACATTTCTTCTAGCTATATTCCTAGGAGTTACTGCTCTTCCAACTCCATTCCTGGCAGTTGCACCACCTCCAACTCCAGCTCTATTCCCAGTAATTGTTGATCTTCCAGCTCCAGCCCCAATAGTTGCACCTCTTCTAGCTCCTGCTCTATTCCCAACAATTGTTCCTCTTCCAGCTCCAACTCCAGCCTTGCCCCACCAATTGCATCTTTTTCTCTTCCTTTTTGAGTTGTATCTCTCCCAGATCCTGCCACAGTAGTTGCAAATGGACCTTCAACATTTGTAGCATGTGCATTAGATGAATTTGCTTGTGTTGACTGTAAGATGTTCACCAGAAATGTTAATGGGACATTATATATTATTTAGATAGAAAAGATAAATGTTGTAAAAATGCAAGTTTACCTTAAACCTCTTTGATTTTGGGTGAGGTGCATTCTTGTATGAACTGATGTTGTGTCCTTGTTTAAGGCATTTTCCACATGAAACTGGAATATTTTTTCTAGTTGCTTTGAAAGGATTCCTTGGCTCATCTGCATCCATCTTCCTTAGTTTCTTGGGTCTTTTAGGTTGCTTCCTAATCAAAGAGGGTAGTATTGGGTCATACCCTGTTTGAACCCAATCACAATGACTTGGTACGGGATAAACCAAGTGCTTGTATACCTCCATATATGTTTTCTTCCTGTAATACACATGCACATAGTCTTCTAGAAAATGTCTAAGTTTATAAATTGCGCTGATTGCATGCTTACAAGGTATACTTGTGAGGTCCCACATCATACAACCACAAGTTCTAGACCCAACATCAACAACACTGACTCTATCATAACAATCAACCTCAAAATTCTTCTCACTAGCCCAACTTGCAAAACAGTTTTTGGACTCAACTTTTTTTTCGTTTCTAGTTTATCCTGTATGTTTGGACAAATATGTCCTTCATACTTTTCCTTTCCAATCCTCTTAATTTGCATTCTGTTCGTTAACCATCTTCTAACCCATTCAACTAAACCCAAAACTGGTTTTTCTCTTGCCTCTGAAATAACACTATTGAATGACTTTGAAAGGTTGTTAACCAATATATCACATCTTGACCTAGTATGGAAATGTGATCTTGCCCAGTGACATGGATTGATCCTTCCCAACCATTCAACAACATTTATTTTGTTCCCAATCTTTGGATCAGCCTTCTCAATCAGCTTCATACAATGTTCAAATTCCCTCACATTACCAGTTGAAGCAGCCTTCAAGAATAAGTCCTTTAATTCTTTACCCTTGAATCTAATTTTGAAATTGTTATACATATGTCTTAAGCAATACCTGTTTTCAGTTGTAGGCATAATCACTTCAAAAAGCATCTATTAATCCCTTTTGGCTATGAGATACAAATGTCCAACCAAATACCTCACATCTTCCTATATCTTCCATTAGCTCTTCCGAGAACCACTTCCATGAATTGCCACACTCTCTGACTTTATCACATCCATGGCAATGGGGAACATGCTATCATTTCCATCTCTGCCAACAACACTTAATAGTTGACCACCATATACACTTTCTAGGAAACAATGGTCTACAACCATTCAAAAATCCCTTCTTCTGTGCATCAAGCCTCACATATAACCTCTTAAATGTAGGTGAAACATCTAAAGTAGGCCTTTCCAAGAAAAATTTTAAATACACTATTAGGGTTATATTTCCTAATGGTTTCACAGTAATCCCACAACCTGGAATATTGTTCCCAAACATCCCCTTGCATAAACATCCAATGCCTTTCTTTTAGCCCTAAAACATTGATGTGTGCTAACATTTACCATTATTTCCCTATGAACACCTCGCATGAAGTTTCTTGGTTCGAACCCTGACTCATCTCTTAACTTGTTAATGAACTTTCTTGATAAATATCTAGAATCTACCAAGTGATTCTCATAACTTCTCCCACAAGTGTGTCTTCCAGATATAGTCTTTATCTGAAATGTTGATGTCCTACCAATTGGAGAAGCATGAATTCTCAAAGTACAGCTCCACCTACAAATAACTGTGATTCTATTGTTTTCATTTTCTATCCACTTTAGGTCATAACCTCCTTGTATCACCCACTCCTTTAAAGCCTCTAAAGATTTGAGGGGAGGAAAATCTCATTCCAACCTTTAAGTCTGGTTTGTCCATGTACCTTTCTTCATTAAAGTCAGCATAAGGATCAATTTCTTCATTTGATTTGTTGTCTTTACTCAATTTGTCCCATTCATCCTCAACATCAGAATACCATTGGTCAGTTTGAACATTAGCATTTTTATCATTTCCAATTTTTTCATTTATAGCATCAACAGTTTCATTATGAGCATGTGCAACTTCTACACCTTCATGCTCTATAAATACAGTTTTTTCATTTTGAGCATTTCCAGATTCTTAGACCTCTTTTCTAGAATTTTCTCTTCTAGTGCCAGTTTCAAGCATATTCTCTGTCATATTTCCTGAAGTATAGTAAAACCAATCCCTGAAGTACCAGTATCATTAAAATGTCATCCTCTCCAAGCCTCTCTAATCCTTCATTCATCCAATTGGGATCCCCATCGTCATTTGCTTCTGTTGTAGGTTGGGCATTATTTGATTCAGCACAACCTTTTGACATTCTAGGTCCCACCAACATATCTCCCTCTGTAGAAATTACTTGAATAGGTTCTTTCCCTTTCTCAATATATACAACAATTACATCAAATCCTCTATATGCCATAAGAATATCCATGACTTCCTTGTCTGAATTAATAGCAATCAGACCATTGTCTAAGCTAAACCCAGGAAGTATGTATCACATGTTTATAATATTAGGCTTATCTAAAGTTAAATCCTCATACATTCCTCTTAATTCAAACAATGACATCTTATCTAGATCACTCTCATATATTGTGTTCACTTTACCCTTCTTGTAAACAACACTTGGCTGCCATTCAAAGTATCCACCATGATTTAACTCCATAGAAAAACAATTGTCCATTCTGAATGAGTAACAAACAGAAAATGAATAAAAAATTAAAAAGTAATAAACAACTCAAAAAAGAAAAGAAAAGAAAAGAAAAGCATGCAACTGGGAAACAATAAAAAAATAAGAACAATTACCCACTAAAAAAACACAAGGACCCACATGTAAGTACAAAACATCAAAAAAAAATCTTGCCTCAGAACAAGACAAACATTGAGTTGAAATGATGCATATATTAAAAAGAGTTAATTTTATCCAATACCCATGTATTTTAAACCATTCAATATCTCAGATCCGCGATGGAGATCTGAGATACACTAAAAAAATATTGTGATTCATGTTTTTCATGACCCATATTTGTAAAAACAAAAAATTTACGAGCAGAATAATTTTAAGTCACTCAATATGTCAGCCAGAACTTTTTTGTTTACCTTTACCAAAGCTTGAGCAACCAATAACGAACAAGACACCAAGATCCAGTAATCCACTCTCGCGTAAAAGGGAAACAAGAAGAGTCAATCGAATCCCTTTGCGAAAGAGGGTGGTCTAAAACTGTGGTCTAAGATATGTGATTCCAAGCCATTGTCTTTCCTTTTTTCTCACTTTCTCTTGTCTCCGTCTTTCCTTTTTTCCCTCAGTCTATTTGACTATTTTTTTTTCTTTTTTGGTCAACTAATATTATCAAGAGTAAATCAGACGAATATAATATGGGTAGTATGGTAATTTTATTATTTTTGTTAACGATGTCAATTATTTTATTTTGATACATAATTATAAAGGGGTAATGTACATAATTTTAAACGTCAAGTAGATAAGGTGCTTCTATCCAAAATCCCAAGGAGGTAAACATTGCTTTTTAAAGAAGAGTATTTTAAAATTTTTAAAAAATAGTGCACTTAACTACTACTTAGTAAGTTTAAAAACAAATTTATCCCAAAATAAATTTTCTTGATGGACTAAACTAATTATGAATCTCTTAAGAATGACTCAACCCCAATTTTCATTTCCATCTTAGATTATGGGACCAGACCATTCCAACAAGTTTCCATTAATATATTATTAAGCTAAACATTGGTCCCGTGGTTTGTAGGGAGGGACTGTCAAGGTAATGAACCATTTTTTTTATATTTTATTGGCTATAGCACCATACTCCAAATGATGGAACAAACCAGTTGAGAATATGAAAGGAATACACCAGCCATACAGGGTACTATGGTGTCGCGATGTTGGTCAAGCACAACGCGGGCACAAATATGTCAGATGGGTCTCTGCGATCAACATGCAAAATTTGCCAACTTCTATTCCTGTAACCTGAGTGGGGCCAATCTCCAAATAATAAGTATGCATCCACACCACACCTGCCCTTATAACTTATTGCTTTATATTGGTTATCAACTACAGCTGCATGTAAACCATAAAAAAACATTTATTTAGAAACAAGTAATTTTTAGCCATAGATCAAGCGTGAAGGTTGACCTACGACGACCACATGCATATTTTCTTATAATATTTATATAAGGATCCCATACTCACTAACTTTCCACACTAAGTTATTGAGTCAGCAGGTGATCCCACAAGCAACGAGGGACCTCAATGAGCCCCAACTCACACAAGGCCAAGGGTGGCAAGAAACCTTTTCTTGGCAAATGAATGAAAGAATGGGCAAAGCAACCCATTGGAGACTCCTCAATACTTTTGTTCTGCGACTGTTGTACTGACATATGAGGAAAAAATATGAAGCATTCAAGATGCATAGCGGTATTCATGAGAGCACAAAAAAAGATGTCATAGAGAGAAAATTTTCCTTTTCACGTGGACAGCTATGGCCCAAGATAAACGTGCTTAGCTCTTCGTGTTAAGCTTGTCACATTACCGTGTAGTTTTAGCTACCATCCTAGAAGAGAGAGGAATGAACTATGGTGGCTAGACTCTGTCACCAAAAGATCCTTGACCTTCTACAGGATATATTCATTTCTTTCCCAAGGGCAAAAATGATCTCTAGCTCCATTTTCTAGCAAGCAACATGATAAAAGGAGTAGGTGTCCAACTCAAAAATACCCTTCGGAGTGTCACCACCCTAGTGGAGTTGTCAAAAATATAGGTGGAGAGTTATGTGAGTTCATACACGTCACTTTTAGAGGGACCCAAAAGTAGGGTGTGAAGGATGGAGGGGGAAAGGAAGGAGATGAGAGAGGAGGGAGAAAAAGGTTGCCTCCTCAAGGCTTAGAGCCTAAAGATTTACATCCATTCCAAAACCCCAGTCCTTGTAAGAACACAAGGATATTTATAGAGGAAGGCCACACATGTGTGACCTAAGCACATGTGGTGCAAGCCAATAAATCGGCGATAAGTGTCTCAAGTATTAATTAGGTAGTGGAACAAACCCTGTAGCGGGACCCTACCTCGGGAGTCCTTACCTCAAGACCTTGCTGTGGGAACTTAATCTTAGGACCCTAATTATGTTTGCTCAAGGTATGTTCCACAATCCTATTTATCTTGACACATATATATCAATTTCTTTTTTCATATTCTCCCTTCGAATTATATCATTTAGGTAGTGAAATCTATCTGTGGATCCCAATTATAGTGGGACCCCACATGACGGCTCGAGCACGTGCTTGGCACGGCAATACAGTGGGTCCTGCTTGACATTTTCTCAAGCTAAAATTCCCTTTTGGCCCACCAAATCACAACCTCCTTGGAGTCCCCCCAAAGTGACCTATCAATGTGTTCATCCATGTGGCAATTTTACAATATTCACTGTTTATAGATATAATATACCCAAATAAAAAAAAAAGGTGGTTTTAGGGGGAAAAAACTTAACTATACAACTTAAGAGAGTGACGTCTTTGTTGCGTGTTTTTCAGAAATTAGATGTGTTTGACATGTTTTTTTTTCAATTGGAACAGTGCCGTATTAACTAACCGCACATATGAGCTACACCCGAATCTTTACTACATAATAAATTTTTGTTGATTTTTTTGGAATGGGTATACAGACTATCATTTAACTAGTCAGAGTGGAGTAGTATCGGTTAGTAGAATTGGCCCTAGCTCACTTGGTGTGTTTTTTACCCAGCCACCTGGAAGTGTGTGGGCAAGTCT